AGCGTCTGCTACAATAAACATTTGCCCTTCGGGTGCCAAGAGAACTACGCCTGAACTCACCCAAACATATTCAAGGGGGCAAGCGAGAGAAGGGAAGCAAACAGCCCATAGCAAGACCCAAAGGCCTCATATCCACTCCTTTTCCCTGGAATAAGCAACCATGTAAGCCCTGGCACAGTTGTCAGCCCCTCCTGACGGTGCTGAGAACTCCACCGCACCTGCTAGGTAACCCCAGGACACACAGATACTGAAGGCCAAGGGCCCATCCAGTCCAACACTCTGTGTCACACAGTGGCCAAAAATACCAGATGCCATCAGGAGGTCCATGAATGGGGCCAGAACTCCAGAAGCCCTCCCACTGTTGCCCTCCAAGCACCAAGAATACAGAGCATCACTGCCGCAGACATAAGAACGTAAGAGAAGCCATGTTGGATCAGGCCAGTGGCTCATCCAGTCCAACACTGTGTCACACAGTTGCCAAAACCCAGGGGCCATCAGTAGGTCCACCAGCAGGGACAGAACTTCAGACGTCCTCCCACTCTTGCCCCCCCAAAGCACCAAGAAGACAGAGCATCACTGCCCCAGACATAAGAACACAAGAGAAGCCATGTTGGATCAGGCCAGTGGCCCATCCAGTCCAACACTCTGGGTCACACAGTGGCCAAAATCCAGGGGCCATCAGGAGGTCCACCAGCAGGGCCAGAACTCTAGCAGTCCTCTCACTCTTGCCCCTCCAAAGCACCAAGAAGACAGAGCTTCACCGCCCCAGACATAAAAATGTAAGTGAAGCCATGTTAGATCAGGCCAATGGCCCATCCAGTCCAACACTCTGGGCCACACAGTGGCCAAAACCCAGGGACCACTTGGGAGGCCCACCAGTGGGGCCAGAACTTCAGAAGCCCTCCCAGTTGCCCCCAAAGCACCAAGAAGGCAGAGCATCACTGCCCCAGACATGAGAACCTAAGAGAAGCCATGTGGGATCAGGCCAATGGCCCATCCAGTCCAACACTCTGTCACGAAGCGGTCAAAACTCAGGTGCCGTTCAGCCTTTAGAGCCAGCGCGGTGTCGTGATTAAAGTGCTGGACTCAGGTCTAGGAAACCCAGTTTCGAATCCTCACTCTGACATGGAAGCTCACCGGGTGACCCCGGGCTGGTCACACGCTCTCGGCCTAACCTACCTCACAAGGCTGTGGTGAGGAGGATCGTATGGAGGAGAAGAGCGGGAACGGAAGCCGTGACGAGGAGAAAGGAGAAATATAAATAAAGGCAATAAATATAGCACATTCAGAGGATGCAGAATTGTGGCAACGCTCTCAGCCAGTCAATGCCGCTCGCATTCAAGCCCCCAAACCGAAACGCACGGATCGCAAACCTACTCTGAGTTGCTTCTGCCTCCTGGAGGGGCAGATCCTCTGAGCTGTCCTCGGCCCCACTGGATGTGGGAAGACCGTCGGGTTCCTCGTCCACACCGCCCTCGGGGAACGCCTGGCTGCAAGACTCCTTTTCCAGGCACGGCTGGCAGACTGGAGCGACCGAGTCCTTCACCGGATCCCCGGCTGCGAGAGCCTCTTCAAACGTCCTTTTTTTTTGCTTTCGGAACTCGGAGACTTTGCGGGAGGGGCGCAGGGGTCGTTCCCCTGCAGGAAAGGAGGGTGGGGGGGGGGGCACAATTCAAATTGCAGAACAGAAGTTTCGGTTTTGCACAGCGGCCAACCCCAATGCCCCTGGAAGGGCTGCCTAGTACGGCCCGGAGGCCAACGCCTTCCCTCTGTGGTTACCCTCTCAGCCTGGATTTTCAAAGGTACACTGCCTGTGTCTGTGGAATTTCCGTTCAGCGATCGTGGCTCATAGCCATTGGCGGACTTTCCCTCCACGGTATTTGTCCAATCCCCTTTTTAAAGGCAAATGGCTATTCCTACATCTTGTGGCAGTGAGTTCCAGAGGATCACTACTCTTTTGAGCGATGCAGTACATCAAATACAGCCAGCCAGTTTGGTGTAGTGGTTAAGTGTGGGGACTCTAATCTGGGAGGGCCGGGTTTGATTCCCCCACTCCTCCACTTGCACCTGCTGATTTGACCTTGGGTCAGTCATAAGCTCTGGCACAGCTGTCCTTGAAAAAGAGCCGTTTGTGTCAGAGTTCTCTCAGCCTCACCCACCTCACAGGGTGTCTGTTGTGGGGAGGGGAAGGGAAAGGATTTTGTAAGCCGCTCTGAGACTCCAAGTGAAGGGCGGGGTATGAATCCAATCTCCTCCTCTCCTCCTCCTCCAAATACCACAGACATCAAGATTGTATAATTAGAAAAGTAAGACAGTATACAGGAGTATTCCAGGAATTATATATATATGTGTGTTTGTGTGTATATGTGTATATATATACATACACCCCCCCCAATATATATTGGTTTAATTTAAAGATACACGTTAATAAGCAATACTGCTTAAGAGCAATGTGGTCCTCATCATTATTGTTACTCTTGTTAACGCCATCATATCATTACTACTTGTGCAATACGTTTACGATACAATTAAAAAAAAACCTACTTGTGCAATAAGTTGACATCTAATCTATTTGTAATTTACCATGATTTATCTATGTCTTTGTCTATTTTTGAATACCCATAAAAAATTAATTTTAAAAATACCAGATTATTATTGTTGTTGTTTTGTGAAATACTGTATTATTATTGTTGTTGTAGTAGTAAAATTAATACTGTATTATCATCATAATTATGAATACTGTAAAAGAAATACTGTCAAAACCCGTTCCCCTCTTGTGTCCATTTACACTTTTTGCACAGATATGCCGAACGGCCTTGGAGGGACTCAATCCTGTAGAAATACAGGGCTACACCCCAATTTATAGGTCACCATCAGTCAGAAGCAACTTGGTGGCATTTACCCTCACCCCCAACTGCTTCTGGCGCTCAGCCTTTCCAGTTCTTGACAGCTCCAGTTTGGGACATTCCTGGGGAAGGTGGGGTTTCAGGAGGCGAGAGACCCCAGTAGGGTCTATTGCCACAGAGTCCACCTTCCAAAGCAGCCATTTTCTCCAGGGGGACTGGTTTCTATAGCCTGGAGGTTAGTTATAATCAGTGTTCCCTCTAAGCTGAGTGAGTGTGAGGCTAGCTCACAGTTTTGTAGCCTCCGGCTCACACGTTTTTGTCTTCGCTCAGGAAAAAGATGGCTCCAGAGCCAACTAATGTATGCAGTAGCCAAATGGCTCACTCACAACTTTAATGCCAGTAGGTCACAAAGTAGAATTTTGGCTCACAGGACTCCACAGGTTAGAGGGAGCATGGGTTGTAATTCCGGGAGAGCACCAGCCACCACCTGGCACTTACTTGGCAACCCTGCACAAGGCCAAGGCTACCTCTCATCTTCCTGAGAAGTTGCCAACTTCAGGCTGGGAGATTCCGGGAGATTTGGGGGGGGGGATTTGGAAAGGGGAGACCTCAGTGGGATCCAGCGTTCTAGAGTCTACCCTCCACAGCATCCATTTTCTCCAGGGGAATTGCTCTCTGGAGATCGGTTATAATTCCGGGAGACGCCCCCCCAGGCCCCACCTGGAGGCTGCCCCCCCACACCTTCCAGCTCCGCCAGGGCCTCCAGCTCGTCTGCAAACTGCTCGTCGAATTCATCTTCGATGCCGTACAGCTCAGCCTCCTCCTCTTCCATTCCCGATTTCTCTTCTCTACTGCAGAAATAAGGAGGGAGAAATGGAGTTCCTTTCTCTTTAAAAAACCCGCACCGCTTTTGCTTTGCAGCTTGCAGTCAGGCAAAAAAAACCCCCAAAAAAATCCACGTGCAATTAAATTTTTTAAATAGCAGTGTCAGGCAAAAATAACCAAAAAAATTCACAGGCAGTTTTATTTTTTATTGCAGTCATGCAAAAGAACCCCAAAAATGTGTAGTAGAGTGTCTGTTTGTAGTGTGTAGATTTGTTTGTTGTAGATTATAAAAGAAAATTTAATAAAAGTGTACCTATGGGCACTTAAAAAAAATAACCAAAAAATCCACATGCAATTTTATTTTTTATTGCAGTCATGCAAAAAAAAACCCCAAACATTTCACATGCAATCTTACTTTTCTTTAATCGCACCCGCGACGCCTAGCTGACAAGTCCCTTTTCCTCCCGGTTTGCAAATCAGCGCGCGCTAAAGGGCGCCCGCGCGCCGATTCCTGTTCCGGGTGAGCGCTCGCTCGCTCGCTCGCTGCGGGGGCGCTGATTGGCTGCCTGGGCGCGGGGGCGCGCCTGCCCCGCTGTCTCTCTCCATTCCCGGGCGCTGAGTGGGCACGCGCGCCCCCTTTTCCATGGCTTCCCGGGCTGGGCTGCTCCCTTGCACGAAGTTGCAGGTGGGTCCGGCCCGGCGCTATTTCTGGCGGAGCTGGCGGGGTGGGAGAGGTCCATGCATGCTGCATGCACGTTGCATTCGCCATGCACGCAGTGGGGAACGGCGGCCTCCTCGTGTTGCAAATCTGCAAGGTCGATGATGGAGCTGCTCGCGTGGGCGCCTGCCTGCTCGCTTTTCGGGCCCGTTTGCATAGACAGGCCCTTGTGCACTTGGGGGGTCACGATCCCCGTTGCAAGGGGGAGGCGGTGGCGCGCTCCAGAATGGAGATCGACGCCGGGGGGAGTGGTCAGTAGTAAGGTTGCCCAACTCCAGGTTGGGAAAGTCCTAGAGATTTGGTAAAGGTAGAAGAAGAAGAGGAGGAGGAGATTGGATTTATACCCCGCCCTTCACTTGGAGTCTCAGAGCGGCTTACAATCTCCTTTCCCTTCCCCTCCCCACAACAGACACCCTGTGAGGTGGGTGGGGCTGAGAGAACTCTGACACAAACTGCTCTTTTTCAAGGACAGCTGTGCCAGAGCTTGTGACTGACCCAAGGTCACATCAGCAGGTGCAAGTGGAGGAGTGGGGAATCAAACCCGGTTCTCCCAGATTAGAGTCCGCCAGTTGAATCCGACTCTAGGTTTGCGGTGCTCATCTCCGTTTCCAAGCTGAAGAGCCAGCGCTGTCCGAAGAGGTTTCCGTGGTCATGTGGCCGGCATGACTAAACACCAGGAACGCTGTTTCCTTCCCACCGAAGTGGTCCCTATTTATCTCCTTGCAATTTCTTGCTTTCGCACTGCTAGGTCGGCAGGAGCTGGGGCCAGAGATGGGAGCTCACTCCATCATGTGGCACCCAGGTCTCAAACTGCTGAACTACTGATCTTCCACAGCCTGCAGTTCAGCGCCTTAACCACTTGAGCCACCGCAGCTCCTTAGAGATTTGGAGGTGGTGCCATAGACTCCACCTTCTGAAGTAGCCGCTTTCTCCAGGAAAACTGATCTCTGTCGTTTTGAGCATCAGTTGTGATTTCCGGGAGATCCCTGGGTCCCTCCTGGAGATTGGCAACCCTTGCTAGAAGGGACTCTTCACCTTCTGCTCAAGGACACCCCCCCCCCCCACGGTTTGGGAGAAAACAGTTGGAAAAAAGAACCTGGAGGCGGGTGCATTCTGCAGAGTTTCCCTTGGAAGTGGGCATCTGAGTGCTTTTGCACACGCCGCCTTACATCATCGGGTGATGGTCCAGCCATTGCAGCATCCCGTTTGCAGCCTGGCCAATCAGATGCCAGAGGGAGGCAGGCAGGCTGGGCTTAGCATCCCTCCCCAGACGTCTGTCCCCTTTCCCTGCCCTGTTTATTCAGGAGTAAGTCCTCTTGGCTTCAGTGGTGTTTCCAAGTCGGTATGATAGCCCAGGATTGCATTTTGTTATCTGGTGAAGGAGAAAAGAAGAGATTGGATTTATACCCCGTCCTTCACCACCCAAAGGAGTCTCAGAGCGGTTTACAATCTCCTTTCCCTTCCCCTCCCCACAACGGACACCCTGTGAGGTAGGTGGGGCTGAGAGAGCTCTGACAGAAACTGCTCTTTTTCAAGAGCAGCTCTTATCAGAACTACGGCTTGCCCAAGGTCATCCAGCAGGTGCAAGTGGAGGAGGAGTGGGAAATCAAACTCGGTTCTCCCAGATTGGAGTCCACACACTTAACCACTGCACTAAACTGGTGAAATGAGTTTGCGGCCTGGCAGATGTCCCCACAGAAAGTTTTCCCACCCCCCTGCTTGCAACAGAATTGTTTGAAATGGAGCTTGCGAAGGATCAGACAACCAAATATGCCCACATTTAGTGCGCGGACTCTAATCTGGGAGAACCGGGTTTGATTCCTCACTCATCCACTTGCAGCTGCTGGATGACCTTGGGCAAGCGATAGTTCTGTCAGAGCTGTCCTTGAAAAAGAGCAGAATTTGTAAGCCACTCAGAGGCACCTTTGGGTAGTGAAGGGTGGGGTGTAACTCCAATCTCTTCTTCTTCTTCTTCTCTCAAAAGCTTATATCCTGAAAATCAAGTTGGTCTTTTCCGGGGCTCCCGGTCTTGAATTTGCACTTCTAATGAGTTCATGGTAGGAGAGAGACTTGAACACAGGACTCCCTGTTTCTTAGCTTAGCTCCTTGGTCCCTACCTCCGTCTTCCCTCCTTTAAAATGTATCTGATGTTTGACCACTTCTCATGGATTCGTGCGGCCTAGCCCTGCTTTATATATTTCTTTTAAACATTTCTGTCACACCTCCCCCTCTGTGGTTTGAAGGTTGCATTTCGATAACTGGAGCACAGTCCTTGCATATCGCCGTATCTCGAAAAGGACACCGCAGAGCTGGGAAAAAGTACAGAGGAGGGTAACCAAGATGATTCAGGGGTTGGAGCAACTTCCCTAGGAGGAAAGGCTGACGCGTCTGGGACTTTTCAGTTTAGAAAAGAAACAACGAAGGGGGGACATGATGGAGGTTGATAAAATTATGCACGGGGTGGAGACAGTTGACCAAGATAACTTTTTCTCCCTCTCCCAAAAGACCAGAACTCGGGGACATCTGATGAAGCTGATGGGCAGTAGGTTCAGGACAGACAAAAGGAAATACTACTTTACACAGAGAGTGATTGAAATGTGGAATTTGCCGTCAGAGGATGTCGTGATGGCCACAGGAGTAAACAGCTTTAAAGGGGGATTAAACAGATTAATGGAGGATAAGTCTATCAGTGGCTACTAGTTGTGGTGACTGAGGGGAACCTCCACATTCAGTGACACTAATTCTCTGAATCTCAGAGCCAGGAGGCAACATCAGGGGAAGGTCTCGGCCTCTCTGCCCTGTTGCTGACCCTCCAGAGGAGCTGGTTGGCCACTCTGTGAGACAGGATGCTGGACTAGAGGAACCCTCAGTGGTCTGACCCAGCAGGGCTCTTCTGAGGTTCTTCTCAGGGGAAGGTCTCGGCCTCTCTACCCTGTTGTTTGGCCCTCCAGAGGAACTGGCTGGCCACTGTGTGAGATGGGATGCTGGACTGGATGGACCCTCACTGGTCTGATCCAGTGGGGCTCTTCTGAGGTTCTTCTCAGGGGAACGCCTCGGCCTCTCTGCCCTGTTGTCGGCCCTCCAGAGGAACTGACTGGCCACTCTGTGAGACAGGAGGCTGGACTAGATGGACCCTCACTGGTCCGATCCAGCAGGGCTCTTCTGGTGTTCTTATGTGTAAAGTAACAGCTGTGCCCCTGAGCTTGTGCAGAGCGCTTTTCCTGTTCCCACCGAATCACCCTAACTATCCTGACCCCAAACATCTTAGCCCAAAGGCCTCCTTACAACAGAGGCGAGTGCAAGTCCTACCTTGGCCCAGTCCTTTGAAAACTAAGCCCCACCTTCCTCCCTCCCTCACAGGGTCTGCAGCTATGGAGCCCGTCAGCCTCGACAACCTGTCCATCTTGTACCAAAGCTCGGACTTCATTGTGGTCAACAAACACTGGGACGTCCGCATCGACAGCAAGATGTGGTACGAAAAGCTCACACTGCAGAGCCAGCTCAGGTACCGGTTCCCGGAACTGGCCGATCCGGACACCTACTACGGCTTCCGGTGAGTGACGGCGACGAGAGGGTCTCTTTGTGGGTGCCTAGGGAGACCCCATGTTACCCAAATAGGCAAGCTCCTAATTACTTGGGGGAATTAGCAAAGGAGACAGAGCGAATCCCGGATCCCCCCGCCAGCAGTTTATATGGTTCTAATCTCCCTAACTAAAATTGGTCTGAGAAGACTTTTATATCAGATAGGAAATTATTGTAGTGAGGAACTGCTCAATACAAACTACGCAAAGACAAAAGTAATGGTCGTTAGAAGAAAGCCTAAAATATCTTGATGGTCTATCCTTTGAGAGAACTTGTAACTGACCCAGGGTCACACCAGCAGCTGCATGTTGTGGAGGAGGGGGAATCAAACCCGGTCCTCCCAGATTACAGTCCACGCTCCTAACCACTACACCACACTGGCTCTCAGTGGGGGCAAACCCCCTACCCGCCAGAATTGTTGTCATTTTGACAAAAAGGGAGTTTGGTGGGATTATGTCCAGATTAGCCAGGGGCCTGTGAACTCCTGTGGACTGCGGAGGGATGTAACAGACTGGTGGAGACAGAAAGTGGAAGTTTCTAGCTGTGCTGAGGCAGCTGCTAAAATACAGATGTAACAGAGTCCCTCCCTTCTTCCCTTCCTTATTTATTTATATTTATTTATACTTTCAATAAGTACCCCGCTCACCCCCGAAGGGCTCTGAGCGGCTTACACGGTACATGGTGCAGAGACCTATGCAGAAACCCTAACTATGGCCACAGTACGTCTGGGGTGGGGGAGCCCTACCGGCGAGTGGGTCCAGCTCCGATGGTTCATTTATCCGGCGAGTGGGCGATTTCTTCCAGTTTTCTCC